CTCCCCCACTCCTCTTCTTCGAACTTAAACTTGGGCATTATACTGTGTGGGGTAATAAATGATAACAAAAATTCGTAGGATACTGAAACGCCGACGTCGATATTAGCTGTCCGATCCTTAGAAATAAGTGCTCTCTGACTTGTGCTCTGCATTATGTGGCTTATCCTCGGCTACGATTAAATTTGATTTTAACTTAAATAATCGAAAAAAATAGTCTAAAACAACGTCAGAATTGATGGGCGTCTGTGTATTCATCGTATAAGCCAAATAACCTTTCCACATCACTGCATTAGATTTCCGAACAAAAGCCAAATATCTGGCTTATTCAGAGACGCCCATCAATTCTGGCCCTGTTTCAAATCATAATTCATCTCTTCATACTGTTTTAGCCACTTGAACCATTCAACTCGGGGTCCTTTACCCTCACTTCATTCAAGTTTTCATAGTTGAGTGGCGCAATTTCACCCCATCTCGGCCTGGGAGTATTCTCCTACTCTGTTCACCACTTTCAAAGAACTCATTGTTCCCGATTTCGCACACAGTTCGTAGTGTTGACGGTCTTTACATGGGAGAATGGTGGGAAACAAAAGGATCACGGCTTCGCTTCGACTATCGTCAGCTCGACATTTACATCGTCGACTTGTACCGTAATCCAGTACGAAAAAAACCTGCGCTACTGTAAAGCAGCTGGAACCGAATGCGCACTTTTGTTGCACGTACATGGAACTTGGACACGGGTTTTTACCCTCCGTTAGTTGAGAAAAAGTTGGCGGTCCTCCAGGAAGTGGAACAGGTCAAGAGGTCGAATCAAGCCTGATCTATTGAACGATTACGATTCTGGGTCGTGGGCCCTGCTCGAAGTACCAGTCGTTGCATGGTCGGACTCTGCTGTCTTTGGTTTACCGTTTATGGATAAGAATGTAGGTTATTTATTCGTAATAATTTGTAATATGTTTTTTTGTAAATTGCTATAAATATTCTATTTTTTTCCTTACAACTGGTTTATATTTTTGTCTGTATGTGTGATTTTTTGTGGTTACTGACCAAGTGTATCTGACCATTTCTGGCCATTTTTCTGAAAATAATTTTTTTCATGATTTTAATATTTTTGATATCTCATTTTTACTTCTTTAAATCAAATTTTTGTTTTTCTTTGAGTTAATTTTCCACTTTACGGCTTATTGCGAATAATTTGGCCCATCTGATCGAACAGCAAACATGGCTATGCTTCCGTTTATACTTACGTCGGGTTGATGCAGAGATACCAGGATGTAAGCTGGTATAGAGGCTTACATTCAATGTAGGCACCTATACTGGCATACCCCCTGATAAGCTATTTTCTGATTCCTATGCATCAATCTAGAAGTGATCTCAGAGTAAAACTTGGGCCTAGCCACCATACCTCTCAGAATCATCACACTCTAGTTGACCTGGGTAGGTAACTTCATATATAAACCAAGCTCCAGAGCCGTTTTCGGTTTCGCAAATGTAGACACCCATTAAATACTGACTTTGCTCATCTGGTGGGTTATTCGGTGGTAATTGGCCTAATGGGTTCAGTGGCCTAAATAAACGAGAGCTTGGAAATATGCATGCTGATGATAAAAAGCAGATAAGTCGGTGAAATGAGCCGTGGGTCAGTGTGGGATCGAATCCCTCTCATGACAACGGAGCCTTCTATTCTTTTGGCAAGAACATAACTGGCTGTGACTGGGGAGGTGAGTTCTGTTGAGCCAGAGTATCATCCTGGAACTTGAGATGAACGTCCGGACGAGTTCACCACTTTGACCGTCTCATTTCCAGAGTTTCATTCACAATCCTTAGAAGTTAGCAATGAAGAGCTTTCTCGATTTCCTACTTCTCGACAGTTAGATACACTATGTGGGAGTTGAGGAAAAATATGGCTTTTTTCGTATTGATCAATCCCGTTTTGGGATGCGCCCCGCATTCGATTTTCATTCGATGTTGCAGGGATGATTGCATGCGTATGAGGCCTACACAAAGACTCACAATGGCCAACTTATACGCAAATCGGTGCTTTTGTCCTCCCGAACGAGTCTAGAACCAATTATTTGACATCGAAGGGATACCAATTATTCAACATCGAAGGGATAAAGTCCTGGTTGGCATGGGTGAGATCCGGGACTCGATACACGGTCATGCGTGTGATACTGCTCCCAAACCACTTCCTCCTAATAACGTAGAGATAAAAAGCATTCAAACCCATTACAATATTAACCATTATTATTCAGTTAGACCTAACACGACCACTTTGGCACAGTTTCAAAAGTAGAACATTCAGGCCATTCCCACTGTCATTTCCTCGATGGTACTCCACGATGTCGCAACTCCGCTCATTGATACCTAGTGATGAGCTCACCAGATCCCTGGAAGCGAGTGTGGAGCCGGTGAGTTACTCGTATAGATTGGTGGTTGAAAAAAAATTACGTTTACCCGGGAGATAGAGACTGTTGATTAATTTTTTAGTATCTTGATAAAACCTGAATTCAATTAAGTGGGAGTTTTGCCCAGAGTCAAAGTTATACTTAGCAGAATACAATGCAGTCGTATATGGGACCTGTGGGAGTAGTATAGTGGGGATACGTCTTGTTTGATATGTCTCCTAAAGAAAATTGTGAACATCAAAGTTCAACCCAATATCCATTCCTTCTGTTCACTTCATCATGGAGTAGCACTAAACTAGTAAGGTATCTTACACTGTAAATAGTCAACTGACCCTGGTTTCCGATAATCAAGTGAGTATGGATGTAGAAACTGTGGGTCGCTTTCTACAAAGGGCACTCATATAAGAAAAAATGTTTTGTCATCGAGCCGTGGTGTCTCGGAGACTCAAAGGAACACCAGACTAACGACCAGGCTCCGGTAGAAGGCCATTTAAAAGAGCTGTGAACATAGCCTACCATTTGCCTAGGGTGCGATCTAGGGATCCGCTCTGAAACACACGTAAAGAGTGATTAATGATCGATCTACTGACTGCTAAAGGGTTTTCGCGTACTCATTGCTTTGGAGATACAGACCTATTCCCTTCTTTGAGGGTGCTTCTTCTCATCTTCATCAGTTTCCGCAGAATGCTGGATCCTTCCGTGATTAAGTAGTCAGGTTGAAAAAGGAGATTCTTCGTTGGACCTTCTAAAACTGCCGTGGACAAGGTTCTATAAGAACAGAATTTGTTTAACAGCATGGACACAACGCCCACCCACTTGCGAATTTTGCAATCTCTATTTATCTGACGCTTGCATCGACTGGATGATCCCACCTAGAGATGATCCGCTTCCTCCACGGTTATGAGGAGGTTCCTTTACGGGGCTCACAATTCACTATCGACCTCGTTATGGTCCGGTAATAATCTATCAGAAGTCTCAGAAAAACCGTCCAGAGTTAAGCCATGCGCTTGCTGAACTCAAGTTCACTGACCCCTAAAAGGAAAAGGCGACTGTACTGGAAAAATCTAACAGTGGTCTTCCCGTTGATTGGCTTACTGGATTTGGAGTAGCATTCTGGTTTCTGGTCGGATATAAAGGAGCAAGTGTCAAAAGATTGGTGCGAAATTTTCTAGGGCTGGGTTTTAGATCCCATGCTCATCTGGTCCATCACTGTACGGGTGTTCGTGGGCGCGTTATTGATGCATTTGTAGTGTAGGAGCGAAACGGCGATTTAGTTAAGAACCTTTTCTGGTCTGAGTGAAAGCGTATAGGACCGAGAGAGGAGGGAGGAGTACGGGGCAGGAGAGAGGCAAGGATGCCGTCGCACGTAGTAGGTCAGGTAAATTCTCATAGTTCACTAGGCATCGTTCAAAGGAGTACTACCTTTTGCTTCGGGCGGTCACAGAGTCTTTTCGTCACTTGTTTTTTGGATAGTTGAATTTCCTAGGAAAAAAACTGGGTATGAACTGCAACGTCAACACGAGTTGCGGATAACCCGTTCTGTTCGATCTGTCCGTCACAACCTCCCACGAGAACAACGGGTCGTTACCGTAAATGGCGTGTGTGTGTATGCGTACGCGCACCGCCGACGTAGCTGATTGTGACTTGACGACTTTCGTATGTAGATTTCACCACGGACAACAGCGACACCGTTTATGAGGACAGGTAACGGTTGGGCGACAGTAGCATTAGAACTACAGACGCAGACAGATCCGGATCATCCTTACGATATTATGGCCATCGCTAACGTCATGGGTGGGCCGCGTTGCATACTGTGTCTGGGGAATCAGCAAACCTCGGCACTAGTGATTGCGGGTCCCTCTCTTTCCAGTGAGGAAAAGAGCCTAATGGGAAACAGCGGATCAGGACTCCATGGAATCTACATGAGCTTAGCATGCTCACTCTTTTTTGAAAGGAATCCGTCTTGGCCTTTTCAATTCCCCCCCCCCCCCCCCCTTCCCTCCCCAGTCTTGGTTCCTCCCACACTTCGTTCCGTTTTATTTCTCTTTACCCGTACAACTTCTGGGCACCTGAAGGTATACTGTAATGTAGAACCATCAAAGGGCGAATCTTTTACTCAACAAGTAACAAGTAACAAATTCACATTAAACACCCGTCATCGGAAGAATAAAAGAAAGCAATCCAGCGGCTTACCTACATACATATCGAGTACACCATTAAAAAATGGGTGAGACAAGACAGACAAGGCACGGCAGCGTACGGATGGATACCGAGGGTACAACAGCTCTAACAAATATATCTATGTTTGAAGATCAATACTATACAATACTCAATAACGACAATCGTAATAAACATTGGACAACATCTCAGAACCTATAACCTAAGTATAATGCCTAAAACGTGCCTAAATCCGCAAAAGCGACCACGAAATCTGAGAATTAAGAATCCTGAAGGCGTTTGAGAGATCGATATTTTCTTACAGGGCAAGTTGTCCTTCCTGCATATGTACTTCGAGAAGTTTCCATGCGACGGCTGGATTGTATTCTTCCATATCTCGGCACATCACCCACACGTGATGTACTCGAACTGGCGTGTTCTGCAAATACCAATATAGTTCCAGTATTCAGTCGAACGGTTCGATTGCCTGGTAAGTCGGCTTGAATTCCCCGATCTGAGTTTTTGCTCTTTCCAGGATCGGATTAAAGAAGAGTTTTGTGTAACTAGTCAGTTCAGTTAACGTGGTATCCCAATATCGTCAGTTCCTTCCAAAGCACCACATGACAGGGTTACCATAAACTATGGCCAGATAGGAGAAATTCAAATTTTAACGGTGAGATGGATGTCTCCAGGGGGAATAATCACAGAGGAAACAAGAATCATAATTGTTTGCTACCGATGGTTAACTTTTCTTGTGGAGTCCCTTCCAGAAACGCTGACCCACCGGTAATTTAATTGAGTGAGCTAAAGAAAGCCACGGAATATTGAGGTAGGGATAGAGAGGGTATTCAGAAGGGGCCCCAATTTGCAGATCACATAAATGAATAGCTTGAGAAACTGTAAAGACAGATAGTACCCAAAAATAACTAGCCAATATGGTAGGCTGTAAACATACTCACCGGATCACCTTCGACAACTTTGCCCTCGTTATTTTTAACAACGTTGATCATAAAAGCTTGGAACGTAATGATCAATACCGGACCTTGTTCCATCATCTTCCCAGAGACCATCTAAAGATGGACAGATATGGAATCTTCAATCATGTGATTGTAAAGAGATTTGAGGTTTAGGAATAGTTGGTATAAGTTCTAGAAAGAAAAAGGATCTACAAACCAACCTCTACTTTACTTATGTCAATAATACGGCTATCTTTCGTTGTGAATTTTATTTTTTCATATTCCTTTATAACAGTTGACATAGCGACGAAAGCCTATAAATACAAACATTAATCAAGAGTCTTGATACCAAATTCTGAGAACAAAACAGTACATTAAAACCTTTTTTAGCGCTGATCAAGGGGAAGAACGTTTACCAAGGAAAAAATCATCACAAAAAGTATGAACGCTAACTCAAAAAGCATGTTCAAAAAACTTTTCTAATGTATTGATTTCGAAGTTTTGAATAAATATGAATGTAAGTTCTGTGCCGGTTACTCAAAATTCCGTGTTTTTGTTTTCTAACCGACAAAAGTCCGATTTTTTAGGTTTTGCATATGTTGCGAGTAACAAACTGCCGCCCATAAAATGGAAGCAGTAAGGAAAAAAAGGTGAACGTACCCTTTCATGACACCAATCTTGCAAAACCTCCAGATCACCCCGTATAAACGCTTCAAGTACATTTGGTATCACTTCTTTTTCACAAAATCGTAGCCATTCAGCTTTATCGAACGATGGATCAATCTTGGCTATTTCTGTGAGTACTTCTGATACTTCATTTTGGCTACCTGAAGAAATACCTTTACAACCTAGTAAATACTTCTAAAAGATAGGTAGGAAGAACGGCTCAACAACTCCGTTGACAAAATGTAATCAGAAATATCAATATTTTGAACGATACCCACCAAAAATGCTACTTATACGCTCGGTGACTCCACGCATAAGTCGGACAGCGACGTTGTCACTTTCCTCGTACCGAATTTTCCAGTCGAGGAGTTCTTAAACATTACTGCATACAACAGCAAACAAACAGACAACATGCAAAAAAAAANAAAAAAAAAGAAAAGAACGAGTTCAAAGACTCACTATTATAATACACGTTTTCCTCGGAAAATTTCTTCCACCCGGCATACCAGCGAGATTCTTTGTGCAATGTAATCCCTGTAGCATCTCTGGAGCATTATTATACTTAATCAAAAGCAACTGGTAAGGTTTTTGAACTTCTCTGGAAGATGTTCAAAGAGGAAAAGATGAAAACCTACTCATTTGCTTCGACTGTACGATTCGCAAACGCGTCAGTAAATCCCTCTGTTCTTTTCTTTAGCACCTCTGGAATTCAAAGATTAAATCAAATAGTTTCAGCATTCTGCTGGTGGATCGATACTTCTGGAGAAAGCTCAAGACATTCCAAGAGCTCGCAAGCCCAGTAGGACCGATACCAGTGGGAGCTTCAAACAATGAACACATGGCGAAAAGCACAAAATCCATTTTCATCGACAAAAACTGCTCTCGAACATTAATTTCAAGAACTCAAGACAATTATATAAAATAAATTCGTCTACCTGGCCGGCTATACATTCGAACATCAGTGATATTATCGATTTCGTCCTTCACAACTTTCATTGACTAAAAAATGAAGAATTAGGAAAGTAAATAACAATTAATAAATCCAAACTTTGATAGAATGTTAAAGAAAGTTGCTCACCGTAGATACTTGCTTATAAACTTCGGTATCGCCCACTTTTTCAGCGATTTTCTCTACATGTTCTGCTGCTATTCTCGCCTAGAAATACGACTGACTCAAATCCTAGAAACACTTCAGAAAGACAAGAAAGAACTTCAAGGTCCAGAAAAAACACCGAAACCTGCCTGTCTCAATGCTTCAGCTCCAGCTGCTGTCATTTTCTTACCGGCTTCTGTCTGTTGGATCTCATGTACCATCTGTAAAATTGGTCAGATATATCCATAAGGGCACTACAGGGTAAGTTCTGGAAAAGAGAGAAAAACGTACTATCAAGGGATTTGATAGAGCTTCCCGAAAAAATATTTTTCACGAAAAACATAGCAACAAAACAGAGGGAAGTAAAAGTACAACAACAATACGATCGAATTATAATAAAGAAATAAATAAATAAATCCAACATTATAAAGAAGAATCCTTAATTTTACGGGAATATAAACAGAAGAGAGAACAGCATTGAGAATGGACTATTTTTCTGACAGAGTCTTACCTTACTTAGTTGTTCGCTCAGTTCTTCGATCTTCGCCTTTACCACTTGAGAACTTTTCAACGTTTCTTTTTCGACGATTTCCTGAGAAAACTATTCTATTA